GTACTTTGGGTTTTTTCAGTCACTGAGGAATATGTACAATACTTCCACAGTGTAGTGTAGGCTAACAGACAGCTCAGATGAAGAGATGAGGAAGAGCTTACCCTCGAAGGTAAAGAGAGTCATACGTTCATTCTCCAAAAACAAGCAAACGGGCATACAAACAAACAAAGCAATTCCGTGGTATGATTTGAAAAAGTTTTTAAAGTTACATAGACATTGCACTAGTTACTTTTCACTTCTAGAGAAAACATATGAGAAAATTGACTTAAATTATAGTCAAGGGATTCAAGTTAGCTGTAAGAAATGAATTTTTAGCAAAGTGTAGTTAAGTAGCAAGAAAGATTGTTAAAAAGTTTGGGAAACTATCTAAATGAAATGAAAATTCATTTATCTTGGTTAATGTGGCCCTATGTAAAGGCATTTGGGGCTAAATTAGATAAGTTCTTAAAAGTCTTTCTAAACATAGAATTCTGATTCTATGATCTGTAGTTTTGCTAAATGTCCTGGTCTATTTATCTCAATCAACAAGCAATTAAGGAGTGCCAGCTATGTGTAGAACATCATGCTTAGAGCTGCCAAAGACACAAATCCCTGTGCTTTAGGGGGTGGTTCTCTACACATGTAAACAAATTAATAAAAGCAAACAAAAGTGAGATATCTTTATGCCAAATTCCAGATCCATATGTGTTTATATTATAGTATTATGTTCAGGGATTGAAAGGCAAGAGTAGTCTCTGAGGGTTGAGTTGGTCAGAAAAGCTTTTAGTGAAGATATTGGTCTTGATGGAGGACCAAGGAGAGGAATGATGAGGTCCCTTTTTCCACTGGGGGAAGTTAGAATAAACAGGGCAGGGCAATTGAAAGAAGATGATGTTTTCAGAGAAAAATATGTGTCTTGTAGCGACTTTATAGATACAGGACTGCAAGGGAGGTAGTAGACCGCTCCTTTCGGGGCATCTGGGACTCACTCTGTGTGCTGTGGACTTCGGGAAGCCATGAAGGTGTTCTGAACACAGGTGTGCGGAGTGCAAAGGGATGTTTTGACGGTACATGCTAAAAACGAACCAGAAGAGGAAAAACTAAAATTACAATACTTCATGCAGGAGACGATGAGGGCCTAGATCGGGGATGGAAATGAAAATGGACACAATTCCTGGAAGAAAAGACCCCAAAGTCCTGGAAAACTGATTGATTTTATATATGTGTGTGTGTGCATATGCATACACACACACACACACACACACACACACACAGGAGTGAAAGATAACACTGAGGTTTTGGGCCTGTGTGATACTTTGGACAAGCTGATTTTTGTGGAAAAAGGTGCTGTTTGGTCTTTAGTGATGTTGAGTTTGAGTTTGAGGAGATGGCAGAAAATTCGGCTAGAGATATGTAGAAAATGGAGTGAAACTGGGACTAACACTCAGGAGAATGTTCTGGAAATACAGGTATAGAAATCTTTTGCCTAGTGACAACAGGAACAATCTTGGGAATGGGTAAACTTCTTAAGAATTAAGGAAAGAACAAAAGATGGAGAAGTAAAATCAGAATAGTCACATTGAAGAAGTCAGAGTAGGACGTGGAGTTCGCCAATGGATAGAGAGAAGCAGTGGCTAGCAAGAAATAACAGGACCAGGCAAGGTATGTCAAGAAGCCAGGAGGCAACTCGATCAAGAAGGACGAAGGAGTAACTTAACCCATCATGTCGTCAAGGGCAGAAACGTCAAGGAGGACTGAAAAAAGTCATTGGATTTATCAATTAAGAGGTTAAAATGTCAAGTGTTTATTCTAAATACGGTTGGTGACACTTACCAGTGGTCAAGTCAGGGTCCTGAGTAGTTTGTTCTTCCTCTTCTTTTTCCATCTCTAATGTACTAGAATCTTCCATTACTGAGACTAAGGTGAAAGAAAGTAAGACAAGATAAACGCATACATCACATGTATGTGACTATATATAACTGTATATACATTCTTCCCAAACCATCTTTGGAAACCAAATTAAATGATCCTTATTAAGAAATAATATGAGATCATTTTTGAACTACTGATTTCTTACAAAGATAGTTGCAAAGGGCCAAGCTCACTTTGGCTTATTTTTTTTTTTTT